CATAACTCATATTCAAATGTTTGAGAATTATAATCTTAACGTGGCATAATCATAATTACATGACATCATAAATCTTAATCTTAACATACTATAATCATAATCATACCATATAATAAATCTTAATTAATTTCTTACCGTAACCGAAGCCTTACTAAACAGTTATGTACTCCCATAAGCATAATTGTGCATAAGATTTAAACAATAATAACATGTTGATAGTAGCTAAAATCTAAAACACATAACTATCACTAATAATCTAGCGTACCTATATTTACCTTCTTATTGGGGGTTCACAACAACCAAGAAGATATTAGAAAACAACACAATCACAATATTAATCACTTGTTCCCATTTAACATGATCATAACTAAATCTAACTAAGAAACATACATACTTTAAATCAACATAGTCTTATCATGCTATAGTCTTACTATGTCGTATCATACTCTCATATTCATAACATAACCTCATATTATACACTATCATGAACTAATCATTCTATAATAACTCGTAGTACAATATTATTATGTCCTAACAATGTAAATAACTTATCATATACTGAATGGACTAGTATCCTAATGTGCACGTACTAATGGGCCCATGGGACTACCTTATGCTAGGTGATGCTCAATCGTGTGGCTATCCTAGACTCTAGGCCAATGGGTCTAAGGAATAGCACACATGGACCTCATGTACCATTTAATAAATCGAACTTGGCTCCCAGGAGTGTACCACTAGTTATATGTGGCTTGCTTATCACACTTGAGTCGTAATCCATTGGCATTCACATAAGCAATAACGTGGGTATTCACGAGGTTTTATGCATTCTTGCCGGGCCAAGGCTTAGGGAATTCGACACCGTAACTAAATCACATATCCATCGATCACTAGAGTTGCCGCATCTATAACTTGGGACTATAGAGCATAAAGTTTGTTTAATGAACTTAATTAAATCATAACTATCATATTTGGTCCGGCAATGCCCACTACTATGCAGAACTAATCATATTGTACTATATGCCAATATTCATACTTAAATATCATGCTAACAAAATCTTGCTCTATCTTGTCATGCTACTTCATGTATCACGCATGTTGCTTAGACACTTACGTAATTATATTAAGCATAGTAGCATTTTATAATACCATATCATTTGTATTCTTGTAGTCAATATAAAACATGGTTCCATTATTAATACTCATATCTACTAAGATATTTTTCATTAAGACATTACCAACATATTCGTTGTCGCTTAATGAGCGTAAAACATTCTCAAAGAATTTGAATATTTCCAATATCATGTTCATTGATCATGAAAATTCATAAGTGACATGATAAACAATAAAAATACCCATAAGGTATAATTATAATCACATTTCATACTGTCATATACAATCATAGCATCCATACATAACAATGACAAACATGGGTCACAAGTAAATTGTAAGCATCACTTGTGTTGCACGTGAAGAGAAAGAAAAGTATTAAGGTAGAAACCCCGTGATCAGGGAAGCAGATGGAAGTGAATGTGCATATGGGATAAGAATTGTAATGGTCAAACTTTGATATCAGTTTTTGAGAATTAGCCTTATGGATTCAATACGATTTCCGCAAAATTGTGTTTTTAATTAAAGAACCCCTTTCAAGCACCTTTCTCCTTTTAAGTTTTAGAATTTTCGTGTTTTGAATAAGGATTTGTAAGCTTTTAAAAGTTTAAATATTCTACATTATTATGACTATGTTATTTATATATATATATATATATGTTTGTATGCAAAAAAAAAAAAAAAAAAGATATGCAAATATGGTATGATATGTATGTATGTTACTATCACGATCCATCGCTGGCCTAACATAGCAGGTGGATGGCGGTGGGTCGTGACAGTGTTTCGTATCAGAGCGAGAGTTCGGCCGATTCTGTACACAAACCTCATATGTGAAGACATTGCGACCGCAACCCTCTCACTCTAAGTGTTATATGACGTTTATTATGACTATATCAATATGCTAATATAAGAATTTTATTTTGTGGATATCTCGGTAGTCGGGAGGGGTTCTGATCAGGAAAGTCTTATTATATGCATATTGGTGTAAGCAAAATTTTTTTTTATGGCATAATCAAAATTGAGGCATTTTGATGTTATCCATTTGGTTGAGATTTATACATTTTGGTTCTCTTTTCGGATTTAATTTGAAATCTATGGTATTTTACCACATCTGAAGTTATTTGGATATGTTGTAAGATATTTCACAACGTGCTTATGTTGGATTTAGGATACGACTTATGGAACCTTCGTTAATTACTTTGGAATATTAGTCTTGACCTACTAATGACTAACTTATTTGTTGTAATTGAGCTTATAATTGATATCTTGATAATGTTGTGGTACATGAACCCCTCGATCATGATAGGACCTCTAGTATGGCCTTGTCATGAAAATGTTTATATGACTTTTGTTATCATAATGGCAAATTTATTTGACCAAGTATGAACCTTAGGGCATAAACATCCTTAAACTTTTTACAAACATTAGGATGGCGTCACGTCTTGTCTGTGATTTACTAGTAAATATGATATTTACTCGTAAATACAGTGTTAAACGATCACTGAAATCGGTGGCCAAATTTTTGGGTCAATTTGATATTTACCAGTAAATACGGTATTTATCGGTAAATACGGTATTTACTTGTAAATACAACATAAAACGGTCACCGGAGTCGGTAGTCAATTTTTCAGGTAAATATGATATTTACTAGTAAATATGGTATTTACTAGTAAATATGGTATTTACTAGTAAATATGGTATTTACTAGTAAATATGGTATTATAAGGTAAATACGGTACTTATCAGTAAATACAGTGTTATAAACAGTCACTGAAAAACGGTCACCGGTCACAAAAAAATAATCATAGGTTGTCGAAAAATGGTCTCCAGTCACCAGAGTCGGTCGCCAGTCTCGATCATGGAAGACTTGACTATAATCTACCTATTTTAAAAAATATGCTATAATGTACTACTTTTTAAAAAATAGATGTTTAGCGGGTGGAGTGAGGTGAAAAAAGAGATTTAAAGATATTTTTAAGTTTTTAATAAAATTTAAAACTTAAAATATCAAATTATGCTATAATTTATTATTTTTAAAAAATATACTATAATTTACTAATTACTTTATCAATTATATTATTTTCCTCCTTATTCCTTAAATTAATCATTCTTAGATTTAAAATAACAAGTATACCCTCATAGTGTCCATATCATTTGAAATATAGAAATGATAGTAAGCACTATTCACTTTCAAGTAATCCCATTTCGTTGAAATCCTGCAATTAATTTTTGTGTACGTTGTGTTTGGCGTCTTTAGATGATGCGAAGCCATGCGGAACATTCCAAATACAATGACGAATAGCACTTCTGAAAAGTCAGGTGATAAAAAGAAAAAAATCAAATTTTACTAAAATATGAGTCATTATTGTAAGGAATAATAATTATTCTAAAACATAAGAATTTATTTATTTCACTAATTTAAATTTTATTACAATTAAAAATTTTTATAAAAAATTATATTTAATTTTTTCTATTAAAATAAAAAAATTTTATTTTTTATTATAATAAAAAAATTTTACATAAAATTATATCTCAATTAAATTAAAAATCAAAACCTAAACAAAAGTAATAAAAAAACAAAAACAAAAAACAAAAAAAATCATAAAGTAAAACATCCCTCTTTTACCAAAACTCTTGACCCAAAACCTCGCCGGCAACCATAGCAAGATGCTCGACCTCTGCCACATCGCCGCCTTCCTCCCACCAACACCCACGCCGTCTTCAACGGCGGCGGGACCCAAACGCCGTCATCCCTTGCTTACCCAGGTCAGTTTTTTATTTATTTATTTAATTTTTTTTAATAAAGGGGCTCCTTCGAAGCTGGATTTTTCCTATCCGTCATGATAAAGATTGTGACAAATATATTGGACCTCCTTGTCTGTGGATATGGAGAAGAATCTTATGATATTTTGATTGGGTTGTCTGAGGTAGAAAGCAACCTTTTGTGGAGTTATGACTTATGACCCCTTGAACGTGACGATTCAATGAGCAATATGATGATAACCCTTGATAGAAAAATAAATTATTCAAACTTTTTTTGAAATCATTGACAAAAAATTTGAATTCCTGATCAAATTTTTAGCTCATACCCTAGTTTATGGTTTGGTTCATTAGTGGGAGACTAGGAGTAAATGGGCATTTAATAATATTTCATGTACACCACTTATTTGTCTTGTTTTTTGAATCAATATATATATATATATATATATATATATATTAAGTTGTGAGTTGTGAGTGCGTGTTTTATTTTTCAAAGAGTATAACTGTGTTTTCATCATTTTCTTTTTTGGCAATATTTATGATAGGTTAGGTTTTTTTGTCATATCAATTGTTTTAACTATTCGGATTAACTTTTTAACAATTAAAACTGTGTTTTAACTGTGATTGCAAAAAAGTCAGCCCTACCATAAAAATTGGTATCTTTTTTAAAAAAAAAAAATCCACTTATCATGTTTGAGGGACAATATTGAAACCAACCAGTGAATTACACCTACCATGTTGTAAATGTCAAGGTTACATGTTATAATTTGGATAATGTGGTGGACATTTTCAAAAATGTTTTAAACGGAAAATACTTTTTATCTATGTTTTTTAAGATCACTGTGATTCTTTTCTTTTACTCCCTTGTTAAGGTTTCGCTAACCAAATAAAATGATAATAATAATAATAATATTAGTATTAACATTATGAGAATATTCTTTGTTTTAGTGAATAGATTTACATCAATTATTTTCGTTTAATATGTTGTTAACATGTGCTAGTCAATGACTCAATAGTGTTGTCCATTTCTCAAGTCAAGTGAGCTTTTTTGACTTTCCTGTTTTTCTTTAATTATCAACTAACAAGAACCTTCAGCACAATAATGATAAGCCCATTAAATGAGTTTCCTGCAAAAGAACCTCTAGTCACCCAAAAAATAAAAAATAAAAAAAATTAAGAACCCATCAAGAAGCTTGTCCTTTGTCATAGTTTCTCAAAGTAGAATACCAAGGATCTACGGCCAATCTGTAGTTGCGGAAACACTTCAAAAGAAGATTAATATCAATGGGAGTTTATTCTTTCTGTATGTATAATATTGCTTGTATGTGCTTGTTTTTCTTAATTACTTCCTCCTTTGCAGATGACAGTATTGGTCCATCACAATCCATCGGTGATGGAACAACCTTGGTTTCTAAAGAAGGAACGTTTGAGTTTGGTTTCTTCAGTCCTGGAGATTCCAAGAATCGTTACATGGGAATTTGGTACAAGAAAATCTCTGTTCAAACTGTTGTTTGGGTTGCAAACTTATGCAACCCAATCAATGATTCCTCTGGTGTGTTGATGATGAGCGACACAGGCAATCTTGTGCTTTTGTATCAAAACAAGAGCGTTGTTTGGTCGACGAACTCAACGAAACTAGCCCAGAAACCAATTCTACAGCTTCTAGATTCTGGGAATCTTTTACTAAGAGATGACAAAGATAAAAACTCAGAGAACTATTTGTGGCAAAGATTTGATGAGCCTTCTAATACATTGTTACCAGGGATGAAGTTGGGATTGAACTTTAGAAAGGGTCTAAATTGGCGAATATCGGCATGGAGGAATTGGGATGACCCCTGTCCTGGAGAGTTTACTTGGGGAGTTGAATTTGATGTTCAACAGCCAACATTTCCTGAAGCATATATGTGGAACGGCAAAGCAAAATTAAGTCGGTTCGGGCCATGGAATGGACTTAGTGCAAGTGGTATTCCATTGTTAAGGCCAAACCAACTTTATAACTTCACTTTTGTTTACAATGAAGATGAAGCTTATTACATGTTCAACCTCAAGAATGCCTCTTTGATCAATATAGTAGTTTTGAATCAAACAACTTCCAGGAGCGAACGAATTACATGGGTCGAAGCACAGAAGAGTTGGAATCTTTACGATTCCTTTCCTTCAGATCAGTGTGACAAGTATGGTCTTTGTAGTGGTAACGGGTATTGTGCCATAGGTGAGAGCCCAGTCTGCCAATGTTTGAAAGGATTCAAGCCTAAGTACGCAGAAAAATGGTTAACAGATTGGTCAGACGGGTGTACACGAAATACTCCGCTAGACTGCAGACATAAAGACAATGATGGCTTTGTCAAACTTGTTGGCTTGAAATTGCCAGATACTGCCTATTCTCATGTGAACGTGAGTATGAACCTAAAGGAATGCAGGGCCAAATGTTTGAGCAATTGTTCTTGCATGGCTTATGCAAACTCTGATATCAGAGGACACGGCAGTGGGTGTATCATGTGGTTTGGTGATCTGATGGATATCAGGAAAGTTTCTTCAGAACAGGCTCTATATATTCGAATGCCAGCTTCAGAGCTTGGTATGACCATTTTCAATACTGTCTTTTTTTCCTCCTTATTTCATCCATGTTTTCTGTTTAATCATGCAGCTTCATTTTTCATATTTTCTGGATACATGTGGAGTAACTTATTTGCTTTTCTTGTGTGGAAATAACCAACCCAAAAAAAAAGGAAAGTCTGATCAAAAGTTGAGACCTGCGATAGTAGCAGCTATCGTTGGAGGTGTTTCTGCGATGCTCTTACTTGGATATTTCATTTACAGAACAAAGTTAAAAGGTATTGCTGCTCTTACTCTGATAATGTTCAACTTGAGGACATTATTGTTTAAATTGATATTCTTATTACTGTTCACTCTCGTTCCTATGATCTTTAGTAAGGCAATTTTAGAGGTTAATATTTTTTTAAACCGTGTTATATGTGCATTAGACATTTCTAATTGTCGACCTATCTCTTCTCATTTCTGATCTGTAAATTCAAGCTCATCTCTTCATGCCGTGAATTTTATAAACAGGAAAATATTCGAGAACTGCTAAAAAAGGAGACCAAGAGGAAGATCTAGAGCTCCCACTGTTTGAATTATCTACCATTGTAAATGCCACCAATAATTTTTCGTGGAGAAACAAGCTTGGGCAAGGTGGTTTTGGACCTGTGTACAGAGTAAGCTTTTGATGGCCTTTAATTTGACACATATGGAATAGGGATAACTAGAAGCGTTTAAATTTCTTGCAACATGTTTTTAACTTTGTTTGTTACACATGGGATTTCAGGGTAAGTTAGAAAACGGACAAGAAATTGCCGTGAAGAGACTTTCAATCAGTTCTGAACAAGGAATAGAAGAGTTCAAAAATGAAGTAATATTAATTGCAAAGCTTCAACATCGGAATCTTGTAAAACTTCTTGGTTGTTGCATTGAGGGAGAAGAGAAATTACTGGTTTATGAATATATGCCTAACAGAAGCCTTGACTCTTTCATTTTTGGTTAGGATCCCTCTCGACCTTCAATTATTAGTTACTTTATGTCATCAACACTAGTAAACATACACAGAAAATTCTTATATATGTTGTTCGTCGTTTTGTTGTAAATGACTCAATGACTTGAAAAACTTATTTTGCAATCGCCAGATCAAAATCGAGCAAAGCACTTGGAATGGTCTGTGCGCTTCAAAATCATATGCGGCATTGCTCGAGGGCTTCTATATTTACACCAAGATTCAAGATTAAGAATTATACATAGAGATCTCAAAGCTAGTAATGTCTTGCTCGATAATGAGATGAACCCCAAAATTTCAGATTTTGGTTTGGCTAGAACTTTTGGGGGAGACCAGATAGAAGGAAACACAAACAGAGTAGTAGGAACTTAGTGAGTGTTACTTTGCCACACTTTCTTTATGTTTGTACATAAAATTTATACTTAAGCCATTTTAATTGAATTGAACTTCTAAGCAGTGTGATTGTTTGATGCAGTGGTTATATGGCACCAGAGTATGTTCATAGCGGTCAATTCTCAATTAAATCTGATGTCTTTAGCTTTGGTGTAATGGTCTTAGAGATTGTTAGCGGAAAGAGAAGCACAAGCTTTTCTTCTCCAGAGGAAGACCTCACACTCGCTGGATATGTAAGTTCCCAAAAAACTGCAGTAGTGGTCAGTCCTCTTTAGTTGATGTATTGAACTCCAAAACGTGAACGTATGTGTATTTATGTAAGATGATTGTTTTGAATATATTTTAGGCATGGACATTGATGCAACAAGACAGGGCAATTGAATTGCTTGACCCGTGCTTGAGGGATTCACACTACAGTTTGCAGGAAGTGTTGCGGTGCATCCACGTCGGTCTGCTATGTGCACAGCAACGTGCTATGAATCGACCCAGCATGTCTTCTGTGGTTGTGATGCTTGGCAGTGATAGTCATGTATTGCCCCATCCCCAAAAACCAGGCTATTTCACGGAGACAGAATCACCAAGAGAATATGTTGAATCTTCTCTAACAGACAATATGACTACATCTGTACTAGAGGCTCGATAACGAGTAACTAGATGCTTACAGATTTCAAAACTTACCGAGGTTTTTGCCAATGCTGCTTTGCTAAGCCTCCTCTTTGAGTGTCCATGCGTTTGAAACTGCTATTGAGTTGGCTAGTAGTTACAATCGGAATTATCAAGAGTTTAAATGTCATTCCACGTGCGTTGTTGATTTGATCATTTCTAGAAGTCGTTTGATCCCTTAAGAGATTTTCTCAACTCTTTCAGGAAGACAATCATGTCGAGGATAAGCTTCCTTCACATGCGGTTTCTTTGCGTGATACTTCTAGGTTGTTCTCTAGTCCTGACTTTTGTTCAATGGCGGTCAACAGGGATATGGCGAGCTTTATTTCTCGTAGTTTTTGTAAATAGTAGACTCCTTACAATAATCCCCTATTATTTTTCCCTCTCGGTTTTGAGTAGAGGGCTTTTAACGATGCATATTTGTAGCTTTCCTTTAAACGGCGAATCTAGTCTCAATCTTTTGAAGCTACTTCCAGCTATCAGTTTTCTTTCTGTTTGTCTCGCGCCTTTGAACTTATTTTCAGTATTTTCCCTTTTGTTTTCTTGGGCCCCTTTTTTTCTCTCTTACACTCCACCACATAATAACTCTTTTGTTAAAGATTGGTAAACTAACAGAAAGAGATGAAGGGTAATAAAGGGTAGATATGTAGACAACATAATATAGCGGTTTGAATACTGTGAGTAGCGTCTGTAAACAGCTCTATGCAAGCTGATTCTTGCTGCATAATAGCCCCTGTAACAGAAACTTATTTTCAAATGCATAGTCTCGGCTTAACCTTCTGGTATTAGTTTTTTTTTTATTTTTTTATTTTTTTTTATTTTAATACAACATGTGATTAAATCCGCAACCCTCACTTAAACCCCACCACACCCAAACCCCCCCAGTGCTATTAGACCAAGAGGTCTTAGGCTCTGGCATCAGTTTTTGCTAGATATGGTTGGCTATTTCTCTTGGTAGAATTTGAATTCAAATTTTCTGTCTAATTTTTAGTGTTCTAAATGATGTTTAGCTAATCAAATAATACCACGTCATCTCATGATAAGCATAAAAGAATTAGTTAAAAATCAATTTAAAATTTTTAAACGTGGCATGATATGATTGATTAGTTACTAATAGAGACACCAAAATCATATAGAAGATTTGAGTCTGCGGGATTTCCCTGTGAGATTGTATAACTCATTTTTCCATTTCTTGACTTCTTGTTTTTTGTTTTTTGTTTTTTTTTTCCTTTTCTGTTTATTTTAATAAATTGAGCGGCTTGGTGTGTGAGGGGTTTAGCTTTTGAGTGCTGACCTAATTAGGACGCTTTAGGCTTGAGTTTCCTCTACGCTAGTTACAATAACAAACATGTTGCATAAGATTATAGTTGTACATTGATTTGATTTTCTAATCTAAGCTTATACTTTTGATATCCCCTGGTTCTACCACCAAGAGAAAATGAAATAAGCAATTATTGAGTTTCTAAATCCGCGATTTCTCATTTATGTTAGCCTAAGTCGAGGTTGCACCCAATAACTTAGGCCGAAGGGCGAAGTTTTATATCCTCTCTTTTATATATTTTAAGATTTAGGATTAGGATTTTCGAATTTGTGATTTAGGATTAGGATTAGGATTTATTTTTATGATTTAGGATTTACGATCCTATGGTTATGATTTAGGATTTAGAATTAAGATTTGTAATTAAAGCAGCGGTGAAAGTCTGTATTTAGGTAGCAATCGTCATTTATTAATTTGGAAGTTCTTCAATAGAGCCGTGTCCTTTTTTACTAGCAATAGAGACGACATTCAGGCCGTCTAATTTTAATCTAACGCTTCAGAAAGAGCCCCATGTTTTATTATTTTCTCAACCTTAAATGAGACAAAACTCACCGGTTACCTGTTGGGTAATAGGTTAGGTGGAAAAAATCCATTCTTTTTTCCTTGGTTTTTTCAATCTAACTTAAGGGCCCGTTTGGCTTAAAGGTCTGTTTAATTTGTTAATTTAAATTTTTAATTTAAATTAAGATATAATATTATGTGAAAATTTTTTATTATAATAAAAAAGTTAAATATGATTATTTTTTAAAGCATTTTTATTATAGTAAAATATGAATTGTAAACTCGAAATTAGAGAAAAGAAAAGAACGGGGCTAAGAGTCGTTTTATCAGTCTCAAAATTCTCTCTATTTTCTTCTCGACCTTCCTCTGCAGATGGTCGACCTCACTCTCAAAATAGTGTAGTCCGCTCACTTCTTATTTCTCTTTGAGGATTTCCATCTCAAATTCGAGAGCCATTATCTTCTCCCCAGATCGTCAATGCAACATTTTTAGTCAAATAACTATAATAATAAAAGAATATTAATCTAAAATAATAGATAAAAACCTAGACGCATTAACTCTTAAAATAAATTATGTAATTTTTTTTAACTCAAACCCATTTCAAACATGCTATTTTTTGCTTAAAAACAAGCTAGTTTTTTTTAAGCACATTTCATATTTTAACACATTCTTTAAATCATAATAAACCATTGGCATTTGCTTTTAAAACAAGTTTTTTTATTTTCAATTTTATCCTTCTTAAATCTAATCCCATATACTAAACCCTAATCTAACATTCTCTCTTCCTCCCACGGTTTCTCTCTCTCCCTCCTACGATCTCTCTCTCCTTGAGCACATCAATGTTTGTGATGACCAGACTTGAACAACGGCCACCAAAGATCTAGAACGATGGCTCGCGAGAAAGATCGGAGGAGATGAGTTCGCTGCCGGAAAGAACGAGTTCGTCGCTGAAGAATCTAGATTGGCAATTACCTCAGTTCCGCGATCCATATCGCGACAGAGCAGATCTGGCCATTGTTCCTCTCTTCTGGACAATATTTCTCACCGTCGTTGTCGCTTTTCATCGCGGAAGATTGAAGATCTTCAATCTATGTTGACGCCGCAATGAATGAAGTTCTGGGTTCGTGACGATCGTACGACCGTGGTTGTAGGCTTGCAACCATTGCGGCCTCAGGATACTAACCTCCGCCGTGGCCTCGGGATATTTTTGCTCATGTGGGGTTATATAAGCTTAATGAGTGTAAATAGAATCACTCTTTTTTTTTATTTTTAATTTATGAACTACATTTTTACAACTACTCATATTTAATGTTTTCCATCTGTTTACTTAACATATGAATTAATTTTAACATATTATTATTACTATTATTTTTAGTTTGGAAATAAATTTAACACAATTTCTTATAAATGGAATATTTATAGAGAAATTAGATAGTATGAGAATTTTTTATGAAATAAAATTTACAATTTCTATTTAAAATTTAATAAAGGGACTTTTCATGAGATCTTTTAGAATTAAGGACTGAGACAAAGGTCTTGTTCACTTCGCTGATTCGAGTTTAGAATTCGAGTTGAGATGTGATTTTATGTGAGAGCTTTTTACTGTAGCAAAAAAGTTAGATGTGATTGTTTGTGAGAGCTTTTTACTGTAGAAAAACTTGAATTCTAAACTCGAATCAGCGAAATAAACAAGGCCAAAATTGACAACAAAACTAATTTTAGAGAGAGAGAAGAGTTTAGAGATCATTCACGGATTTATTTCAAAAAAAAAATAATATATTATAGTTTTACTTGAATACAGGGGTATTGATGTAATTATGCCAAAATAAAAAGAACCCTCTTTTACCGAAACACCTCACAACACCTCGCCGGAGAACATGGCCAGATGCTCGACCTCTGCGACATCGCCGTCGTCAACGGCTACGGCACCCAAAAGCAGCCATCCCTTGCGTACCCAGTTCAGGTTTTATTATTATTATTATTATTATTAAATGATGGGGTCCTTAGAGAGTGGATCTTACTAAGCCGTCATGATAAAGATTGTGACAAATATTTATTCTGGTGGTTAGATTTTTGCAAAAATTCTGGTCTCTGGATGTTTCCGAGGAAGATTTTGCTATTCCGACTGGATAGTCTGGCGTTGAAAGCAAACTTTGTGGACTTCATTGATTCAGTTTCTTATCAGCAATATAACCTGTTGAGACTTGAGAGGTATTAAAAATCCATTCATAGTTTTGCTACTGTAGTGTCAATGTTCCGCATTCCATTTTTTTTTTTTTTTATTAAGTTGGCTGATCAGCTAGAGGATTTATCAGATTGAATCTAACAGGCAAACGTACATTCAATTCCTCGTTTTTGTTTTTGTTTTTGTTTCTAATTTTTGCTTTTTAGTTTTCTCCTTTTCTTTTCAAAGGTATTTTGGTTATCTTATTATTCAAATTAGATTATTGACCAAAAAATATGTATTTTCCTATTAAATGCAATATGATGGCATCTCAAAAACAAAAAAAAAAAAAAATCAAAATAATGGATCGAAATCCTAATGCCTATGTCTAAGGTAGAAAAATATGTTGTAGGATCAATGTTGAAGGGTATTACTGTCTTTTCATCTTTTGTCTTTTAATTCGATCCAAGTTGAACTATTATGCCCAAACGTGTATAAAAATAAATGGTAAATTGTAGCACAATTAGGACGTTCAATCCCACGAGGAGGTGATAAAGACAAACAAAAGATATTAGCGGAACAAAAGGTTAGAGAAATAAGCAATCAAATAAAGAAAAGAAAGATGTGTTTTTGTGATTTTAGAGCAATTTAATTTAAAGACAATGCAATTTAAAATGGAGAAAATTCTATAATTAAAAGTGGTAAGATATTGAGAATACTCTATATACTTCGTTCACCTATTTGGATTTTGATTCATAAATTGACTCAATTGAACGTTTCACATCCCAAACAATCAATCAGAAAATAAGATTTGAAGAACTTGTGAATTAAAATATGCTCGAGTAAATAAAATTCTTACGTTAAGAACTAGGAAAAATTATTTTATAAGAAATCTAAAAGTGACAACATACCTCGGGGCAATATTGCTATAAAAGACTACTCATAAAATAATGTCTACCAATATATTGTATCATGCAACATTCACATAAAAAAAACTTGACTAAATTTTATATAAAAGTTGACAATAAAATATATTAATATGAGAAAGAAATATGATGAAAGAAAATTATTTACTCAAATGTATAAAACTTACAAACCATTAGAGAATCAAAACCCAAAGAAGCTACTACATATATCGGATCATTTCTAGCCTCACCCAAGAACTCTAGCCTAGCTTACAAAGCATTTTTACAAAATTCTAGAGAGAAAATATGAGAATAAAAGCAAGATAAAAATGAGAGAAAAAGTATCTAAACTTAGGTTAAAAATCAACAACAAAACACACTTGGCCAAACCTCTATTTATAGTGTTTTTGAGGAATGCCAAAAAGCCATCAACAAATGAATAACATAAAAAAAAATTGATTCTAAATTAAGTAGAATTTACAAAGCTTAATGCAAAATGAAAGCTAAAATTATTCGTGGGATATCAACGGAACAAAACAGGTCAGTTGGTTGATGAATCCTAAGTTGGTGGGACATGTGTCGCACAGAGAGGCTGAAAGGAGCAATTGGCTGACAGCTGGATCCCACACAGACATGTGATGAGCGCTGAGAGGAAGCTACTGCACAGCGGGGCCCACGCAGAGATTGGAGGAGACTCGCCCAAGGGGAAGGCCGTGCGTGCCACGCGCGCGTGTGCGAGGGAGCAGCTGGGTCCCACAAGTCTGAAGTGTGCTAAACAGTGACACGTGGTGTGGAGGAGAGTGCAGCTCGGCTCGGCTCGGCGGCTGGCTGACGACTGGGGCTTGCTGCTGGGCTTCTTTTTCTTTTTTTAGTTTTTGGCCCAAATGCTTTTTTTCCCTAAAAAACCAATGAACTTAAATTAAAACTACATATTTCCATACCAAAATATTTTTGATTAATTTCATGAAAGCATTTAATTAAAACTTAATTTATTTGACATTTATGTAGACCAAAAAGTGCATTTTTGTGCTTTTATCATCCGCTTAGGGGTTTTCAGAATTAATCGAATTAAATACAAATGAGTGATATAGAATTCCCATTGAGCCTTCCTCTAGTCCTTTTGGAATCCCAAAAACTCCTAAGTCCACGCCTTAGAACCTCTTCCTCGTCGTCAAGGTTGATTCTCAGTGTTTTGACTCCAATGGAGGCTTTACCAGCGATGGAAATGTCTAACAGAGCCATCATCTGTGACACGCACATCCCCAAAACTTCCTACATCTGTGCTAGACATGCCCAATTTAGACTCCCTCCGTGGCAGGCATGTCTCCTGGAGCATCCTCTTTTCACCTAACAGAGCCTCTTTCGTGTCAGGCATCCTTCCTTTGAACTTCTTCACACCCAACTCACTGTCGGAGTAATCTTCGCTTAGAGCATGCTCAGCCTTCAGAGTAGCTTCACTTGGAGCAACCTTTGCCTCGAGCACGCTCACCGTCGGAGCAGCTCATTCAGAGTAACTTTCGTGTCAAAGGCAACTTGGCGGCTGCTTAGCCAATATCATATAAACCATCTCTGAGAACGTTTGACATGTGATAAAACGTCCAAAAGAGAAGTCAACGATGCATAAAGTTGAGTAAAACACTCTTGAGAATTTCAGATCATGAAACTCTTTACGTCAGCTCTAAATCTGAAACTTTGCCTCTAAGTCTTTCCATTTTTGGATCTTTTCCTTGTCAATCCAGAAAGACACCTGATCATATTGCTCTATAGGGAATTGTGTGCACAGGTCTATGTTAGAGTGCAGCTGATTAGGTTTTTGAGCAGCCACCATAAACCTTTCTTCCCATTTTCAGACCAGCACTTTTTCAACCTCGGAAGGGCTTCTGACTGCTTTGCTCCGTTGGGATTGCGTGTACATGCTTCCTTCAGAGTGCCACCGATTTACCACTGGACCAAGTCCCTAGAAGTCTTCATTCCATTTTCGGCCAATCTCCTTTTCAACTCGGAAAGGTGCCAGATGGTTTTGCTTCATCGGAATTGCTTGTACATGCGTCTATCAGAGCATGCCGTACGGACCTCTAGAGCTACCACTAAAATCCCACCAAGTTCACCTATAAATATCCTTGTCTCCTTCATTTCATATGGTTGATCCACCATTATCACCAGCCACTATCTTCTTCCATCATCATAGTTCATATCCTCTTCAAATCACTTTCTCTCCTTTTATTCCACTTCCTTCAGACTTCTCTAGTCTCTTCCTATAGAGACTTGATGTTCTTCAAGCTCTTCAAAGTCCTTTAAAACCTTTTAAGTGTTGACATCTTTAGAAAGCTTTCCAAAACACTTTGCGATCTTTCACCACCATCATCTCAAAGTTCTTTAAAGTTTCTTCATACATTTTCTAGCAACACTCAAGTCTTCATTTTCAAAGTCACTTCGGCTCACCGTTAGAGCAAGTGCTCTGAGCGTCGTTCTCGCTCCCAGAGCAACACACGTTTGCTCTTGGAGATCCCTTCACTAGAGCCTTATTCATCTCACCAACTTCACTCTTATCCTCCTTCAAGCCTTATCCACGACTTGAGTCACTCTCTTTGCTTTTGGAGCAGCCTGCATCTGTCTCCAGAGCATTGCTTTGTCAAGGCGCCTTTGACCTCCTAATCTACATCTCTATCAACTACTTGATCGCATCTCACACCATTCTTCATCTTCGGAGTTCTTTATTTGTCTTTGTGGATTCTCTAACATATTTTGCAGGTCATTTTTGTTATTTCGGCAACAAAGATGGTCATAGGACACGTGTCCTTCGGCTATGTCGGTTCCGCTTTTAGCAAACCACGTTCTTACGCGTGTCAACCCCCCACATGCACGTCGACTCTCAGAATCTACCGGTCCCTGACAAGATGAACCACTTTTTTCCCACTTTTCCTCCTTGATTCAATCCTAGCCTTTAGATCTCATCTCTCTTTAATTTTAGATCATAGAATTAGATTTTCTCAAAATCCTATCTAAAAGCCTATTGATATGATGTCATCAAATCAACTGACAACTTTATTTGTTTCAAAGTTTTAGCAGTTTACACTGACAGTATTTTCTAACTTCTACCTACTCTATGGTACGTGCTTGTCATGATTTAATTTACTGTTACTTAATTTTGTTGTAACAGAGAAAGATCCAATTCTAGATATTTCTGAGTTTCTCTATTATTTGTCATGAAATTCAATTAAACTATTAAAATTCAAAAGTGTACCAAGAAATTCATTCTCTAAATCTTGATTAAATTTGAGATTCGTACTAATGAACTTCTCGAATATTACAATTTGAATTTGAATTTTTTTACTTGAATTTCTGGGACATTACAAATAAATGATAATGTCGTACTCAACTTGATGTTCACAATTTGAATTTGACAAAATTGTGACAAAATATTCTTCATTAATTATTGTCACATAATTTCACCATTAAAATTTAAAAGTTTACCAAGAAATTCATTCTATAAATCTCGATTAAATTCGAGAGTTCTCGGACATTACAGTTGGTTCTCGAGCCAGCTTGTTTGACATGGCTTAAACTTGCAGCTCTACTCTCTATTTTTTTTTAAATGGGAAGAATGTAGTAAATAACATATTTTTTAGAACTAAATTAAGCAAACAACATATTTCAAAACTATTTGAAGTAAATAAAATTTTACCGTGTAAATATTTAATTTACGTCTAGTAAAAGATTTTTTTCTACGTAAATTTTTTTTTATGACGTAAAAAGATTTTTTTCCACGTAAATAAAGATTTTTTTACCACATAATTTATTTTTTTGCTAATCGTAAATGAAACATTTACACGTCAAATTGTTATTTACTTCAAATAATTTTAAAATTTACTATTTACTTAATTTAATTTTAAAAATCTATTGTTTATTATAGTTTTGGAAAAAAAAGCGGTAAACTTTTCTTCTGTCTTTTTCTTTTTGACCAATTTTCTTTGTTTTTTGTTTTTTGTTTTTTTTGATAAAAAAAATTACCACATGACAAGCACCACAGAAGAAAATTCTAAACTAAATACTTGCTTTGACATTTTATCATTTTTTTAATTCAAAGCAAAAAGTTGACCTGCCAATTGCGTAAAGAAATTTTAATTAAAATTGAGATTTTGCTCAACAAAGCTCAAAGAGTAGAAATCTAGAGCCAGAAATCAATGTTTTCTTCACTGTTTTACATTGCTCTTTTGCTATTTCTCCTCTATGGAGTGTCTTTGGCTGTGGACAGCATTAATCCACTCCAATTCATTAGTGATGGAGAAACCTTGGTTTCTAAGGAAGGAGTGCTTGAGTTTGGTTTCTTCAGTCCCGGAAATTCCAAGGGTCGTTATGTCGGAGTTTGGTACAAGAAAATCCCAGTTCAAACCGTTGTTTGGGTCGCAAACCGATGCAGCCCACTAAATGACTCCTCTGGCTTGTTGATGATAAACAAGAAAGGCAATCTTGTGCTTTTGTATCAGAACAAGAGAGTTGTTTGGTCAACGAGCTTAGCGAAACAAGCCCAAAAACCAATTCTACAGCTTCTAGATTCTGGAAATCTTGTGGTACAAGAAGAGCAAAATGGAAACTTGGAGGGCTATTTGTGGCAAAGCTTTGATTATCCTGGCAATACAATGTTACCAGGGATGAAACTGGGGTGGGACTTAAGGAAGGGTTTTAATCGGTTATTTTCAGCGTGGAGGAATTGGGATGACCCTTGTCCCGGAGATTTTACTTGGGGTATTGAAATTGATGTTCAACAACACACCTTTCCTGATATATATATGTGGAAAGGCGGGGAAAAATATCATCGAGCCGGGCCTTGGAACGGACTTGGTACAAGTGGTATGCCAGTGTCTAGGCCAAACTACCTTTATGACTTTGACGTCATTTACGACGAAGAAGAAGTTTATTACACCTTCAACCTCAAGAAGAAGTCTCTGATCACAATAGAAGTTTTAAATCAAACAACTTTAACGGTCCAACGACTTACATGGGTCGAAGCAGTGAAGAATTGGCAGATTTACTATTCCGTGCCTACAGATCAGTGTGACAACTATGGTCTATGTGGAGGAAATGGGTATTGTGTCATAGGTGGGAACCCGGCGTGCCAGTGTTTGAAAGGATTCAAGCCAAAGTCTGAAGAAAAATGGTATTCGACGGATTGGTCAGAAGGGTGTGTGCGCAATACTCCACTAGACTGCGAAGATAAATACAAAGATGGCTTTGTCAAATTCGTTGGCATGAAATTGCCAGATACTGCGTATTCTCGCTCGAATAAGAGCATGAACCTAAAGGAATGCAGGGCTAAATGCTTGAGCAATTGTTCTTGCATGGCTTATGCAAACTCTGACATCAGAAATGGCGGAAGTGGTTGCATCATGTGGTTTGGTGGTCTGATGGATATGAGAATAGTCACTTCATCTGAACAGGCTCTATATGTTCGAATGCCTGCTTCAGAGCTAGGTATGGCCATTCTTAATATTGTTTGTTTTTTTCATTCTTTTTAGGTCCTTTAACTCTTTAATTTTTTCTGTTTCATATTTTTTGACCACATGATTAATTTATTAGCTTTTTTCATGTTGAAATAACCAACAAAAAAGGAAAGTCTAGTACTAAGGTGAGAGCTGTGAAAGTAGTTGCTATCATTGGACTTGTTTCTGGGGTGCTCTTACTTGGCTTTTTCATTTGGAGAAAAAAGTTCAAAGGTATTGCTGCTCCTTTTTGTGCTGGATTTTGCCTTTCAATGAAGTTACTAGATTATAGCATATAAACTAGCACTATGACATTTCTAATTATGGATTCCATCTCTCATCATTTCTTAGCTTTGTTGTCAAGATTATCTCTTCATTCCATGACTTTTGTGATCAGAAAAATATAGGAAAACTGCAAAATATGGAGAACAAGAGGAAGATCTAGAGCTTCCCCTGTTTGAATTATCAACTATAATCGCTGCCACCAGTAATTTTTCGCTGAGCAATAAGCTTGGGCAAGGTGGTTTTGGACCTGTGTACAAGGTTAGATTTCAATAGCCTAAATTTAACAAAATGTGTTTAGCATCATTTGTTAACATTGAATCGCAGGGAACGTTAGATGATGGACAAGAAATTGCTGTGAAGAGACTTTCTATCAGTTCCGGTCAAGGAATAGACGAGTTCAAAAACGAAGTAACCTTAATTGCAAAGCTTCAACATAGGAACCTTGTAAAGCTTCTTGGTTTTTGCATTCAGGGATTAGAGAAACTACTGGTTTATGAATATATGCCTAACAAAAGCCTTTGACTTTTTCATTTTTGGTTAGAATCCCTTTTAATCTTCAGTTTTTACTTGAATGATGTCGCTGTTACTTATGAAAATACATAGAAATTTCTCAAAGTATCTGTTGTCTTTTTGTTGAAATTCACTAATTAACTTGAAAATCTTATTTTGCTATGCTAGATCAAACTCAAGATATACTCTTAGAATGGTCCAAGCGCTTCAATATCATATGCGGAATTGCTCGGGGGCTTCTATATTTACACCAAGATTCAAGATTGAGAATTATACACAGAGATCTAAAAACTAGTAACATTTTACTTGATAATGAGATGAACCCCAAAATTTCAGACTTTGGCTTGGCAAGAACTTTTGGAGGAGATGATGGTAAGTCAGAAGGAAAGACAAAGCGGGTTATAGGAACTCAGTGAGTATTACTCTTCCTACATGCTTTTTATATTTCTTACACAAAATTTAAGAGCTTTTACAGTAGGAGCTCATACCTGTGGCGTTTGCTTTTGATCTTTGTGTCTCGAAATGTAAAGAAAACAGTTAAAAAATAGAAACCTACATGTAGTTTCTTTTTAGAAGTCCTATTGCAAAAAACTCTTAAAAATTATATAATTGAATTTAACTTCTAAATAGTCATGTTACTTTTGATGCAGTGGTTATATGGCACCAGAGTATGTTTGCAACGGTCGATTCTCAACAAAATCTGATGTCTTTAGTTTTGGTGTGATGGTCATAGAAATTGTAGGCGGAAAAAGAAGTACCAGCTTTTCTCTTCAAAACGAAGGCCTTACACTCACTGGACATGTAAGTACAAAATAAAAATAAAAATAAAAATAAAAATACTGTAACTCTTAATTTGTATCGAACTTCAAAATAACTATATAAGACAAATCAATTTTAATATTCTAGGCATGGACATTGATGCAACAAGGCAGGGCAATTGAATTGCTTGACTCACGCTTAAGGGATTCACACCACGATTTGCAGGAAGTGTCCCGATGCATCCGTGTCGGTTTGTTATGTGTGCAACAACGCGCTGCGGATAGGCCAAGCATGTTTTCCGTGATTGTGATGCTAAGCAGTAATAGCAGTTTATTACCTTGTCCCAACAGGCCTGGCTATTTCATGGAGACAGAATTACCACAACGAGATTGTGATCCACTTCTAACTAACACTATAACCATATCAGGGCCAGAGGCTAGGTAGGCATTAATCACTAACCGAACGTATATAGCAAATATTCTTCATCACCCTCAATGGTTTGATTTTATTAGTTAGATTATACATTTTGTATCCCATTTTTTGCAAGCATAAGCACACGATTTTGTAATCCAGATTATACATTTTGTATCTCCGGGTTTTATTAGCATAAGCAAATGATATTTTAAGATAGATTAATTTGGCAAATCTAACGATAAAATAAGAAATGAGTAAAAATGAAGATAATATAAACACATAGTATTTTACTGAAAAACCCCCAAAAGAGACGGGGTAAAAACCACTGGGCAAATGTATAAGGATTTCATTATGAAAAATAAGGATTACAACCCTCTTTCTAAATTACACGGAGAAAACAATAAGAATCAGTCTCTCATGTAAATAGGAGATACACCTCACAAAAAAGAAAAATTGGAGAAACTAAATTTCTCTCATACTATGGGAATTCTCTTTGAAGGGTAAGAATGGGCTGGAAAACTGAGAAAGGTATGAGCTCTATTTGTAGCTGGGTTCCCTCTGACAAAACGGTATGAGCCAGTTGTAAACAACTAGCTTTATCTCAAATGTCAACACTGAATTTGGTGCTGACTTCTCATTTCTCTCTCTTTTTTTTACTTCTTTCCTTCAAAAGTTGTGGCTGCCTTTTGCTTATTATTAGGTAATGCTTACATTCTCCCACCTGGAGATTCGATTGAGAATCAATCATGTCTGTACACCATCTTTTCTACCTTGTCACTGCCATGTTGTTTACGTTTTTGCTAGGCCACACGAGAATCTACACCATTTGAACTTGTCAGTATTTAGTGGCTTGGTCAACACATCTGCTAGGTTCTCTTTTGTGTGAATCTTTTACATGTCCATACTTCTTTCTTCCACTACTTTATGAACAAAGTGAAATTGAACTCCTATGTGCTTCATTCTAAAATGAAAGACTAGATTCCTTACAATGTTCAAAGCGCTCTGACTATCACAAAATAAAAGAATCCTCTCTTCTTTCTGCCTAAGCTCCTCCAATAACCTTTTAATCCATATTGCTTCCTTGCAAGGTTGTGTAGCCGCCACGTATTCTGCTTCCGTTGTAGATAACGCCACAAATAACTGTAGTTTCGAAATCCAGCTTACAACTCCTGCAAGTGTAAACACCCAGCATGTAGTGGATTTTCATTTATCTAGATCACTTACAAAATCTAAATCCATATAGCCCCTGATAGTAAACTCTTATCCTCCATAACATAATGCAACATATGAGGTACCCTTTGTTGGTTTCCGAATCGAATTCTGATGCGGAAGCGTGAGAGTAGCGGATCATGTATAAAAATAAAATTTCATAAAACCTTTGAGATACTCCAAGATAAAGTTTATCAATTATCTCCCATTTAAATTTGGAACAAATTCTCCCTTCTTTTATCCATTAATGGCCGGCCACCTTAAGTGATGAAATTCCTGTGGTAGGTGCCATTATCTGCAAGGGATAGGTCAAGATTTTGTATTTATCTAACAGTCCAATTTTGACTCAAATTCAAATTCAAATTTTAAGTCAAACTTAAAACAATTTGAATTTCAAATTGAAAAACTTATTAAATAAGTTTAAATAGATAATTCCAGATGTGTTCACACTTTGCCTTGCATTCACACTATGTGAACAGCTTCCCATAAGTGATCCAAAATTCAAATCTTGGTGTCTGCCAGCCCGCTGTCGGCTTCCCATGGATTTGGACGGTCGAGGCATTAGGTTATCCCCCCTCGTGTTCTCACTCTCCCCAATCCCTTCCGCCACACCACGCTGGTCACCAGCATTCGGGTTCCCGGTAGTGGCGGCGTACGGTGGTCTCGAGGGTGCATCTTCGAGGGGTGGCATGGAGCCTCTTCCATCCATTCGCTCAATGGTGGCTACCAAACCGCGAACCAAATCAGTCAAGGCATTCAGCTGGGCCTGCATTTGTGTTGGATCAGGCTGTGGCACGCTCGGGGTTGGAAACTGATAACTCTATGAAAATAGAGTTAATTGAGCATTTCCCAGGCTTAAATTATTACCTAGAGGGTAATTAGTTTTAGTTTTATCCTTTATTTTGTCTTGTTTGTAGTTTTTAGTTAGTTATGTTTCATGAATTCTCTCTCTTGTGTTTGGCGTTTAAAAAGAGCTAATCCGGGTGTATGTTGTGATTATTTTCAGCTTTGAGAAAGCATTGTCGTCTTGGAGGCTAGCAACAACTTGTCGTTTTGGAATTTTCAAGGAAATCCTAGTCAGCATTGCTGCAGCAAGGCGAGCTGGGCCAGACATGCATGTTGCTGACAGCTGTACCTGAGCTGGAAGAATGGGCTGATTTTACCGTGAAGGGTGCTGATTTAGCTGCTGCTTGGAGGCTTCCTCAGGGGCTGCCACGTGTAATTAGGGTACAATAAGTACCTGCAGCTGCAAGAGAAGAAGGTGTCCTTGGTCATATTTTTGAACGCAGAGGCGGCTGAACTTGGAAAAGGAAACCAGTACTGAGGAAGAAGAATAAGAAGAAAACGTCACAGAGATTTAAACGTGAAGGACCATCTGTTGATGCAAGAGCAGCTAGAGGAAACCTTGGAAAAGGGGGATTCGGATTCTCTCATCATCATTTTAGTCTTTCTTATTCTCATTACTTTGTTTTTCTTGTTAAAGAATATTTACTCTTCTTCTTGAATCTGAACTTGAATTCATAAATATATTTCTATGAGATTATGATTTGTTGGCTGAGGTTGTTGATTTGTTAAATATTAAGTTGCTAGTTGATGTTGAATGGATTTGATGATTATTTCTTTGTTTATTCAAGTGAGCTGAATTTGTGCCTTAACTGTGATTGGGAAATCATAAGAGGGGAGTACAGCTTGATTAGATCTGGGAAGATTTAGTTGAGTGGAAATAACTTGAGTAATGCAAGTTCTTAGATCTTGTTACAGATTTTTGATCCACATGATATAGGAATATATTATGTCTTGCATAACCATACGATTTAGAGCTTCATTCTCTGATTTTAGAGTCTAGATTTGCAAAGGAATTTGTGGGATTTAGCTTTAAGATCAGTAGACAGAGGATTAAAAAATCCCTGGTTTAGTAAATCTGGTTAACAGGAAGTAGTCGTTGCTGTCCGTTGCTACAGCATCGCGCAGCATTGTTAGGAGACAGTTTAGCAATTGTGAGCCACGAACAGTGACATTGGCCAATTCCATTTGCATACTTGTTATTAATTAGTTTTGTTTTTGTTGTTCATTTATTTACAGTCAGATTATCATTAGTTTTAACACCTAAAAAAATCACTTTTAGTCTTTGTTTAAAAACTTGAATAGAATTAACTTAGCAATTTGATTTCAAAAACACTCAATCCCTGTGGGATGATACTTGGTTATTCATCATTTTACTACTTGTTGACTCGTGCAC